GCTTAATTATGTATCTTGCAGAAGTTGCATCAACTACTGTTCATGTGGAGACTCATTAAAATATATAATTCAACCATAATTTTCTAAACATTTGCGTGCAACTGCAGCTGTTCTGATATACAGATATATGATCAGATGTGTGCAGCTTGATATTCAATCTATCATAATTAAAAAATAAAATGCACAAATTGTGTAGGCAAGACACACACAAGTTTTCAGTCATGCACAGTACTCTGAATGAGGGACCTTGGACATGCATAGACCCATGAGACCTACAGATGGCTTTCTGTATCAGTTGTGGGAAATCTGTAAATAGCAAATGTTGCTGATAAAACCCTGACCCTGTTGTGGATGCAAAGAATAACCAGGAATGCCCCACCCAAGTGACCCTTTAATAGAATAACTCTGTTGATTCCAGACTTTGCAAACCCTTAATGGTGAAAGAATCAGTAGAGAAACAGAGAGCTGAAGAACAAGTCTGGTGTGGATAGATAGGAGGAAAAGGAGAAAACCTCAAACCTTAGTGGGCAGTATACAGAATATCAAGATTATAAATCACCATACTCAATATAAATAATGCTATTTTATTTTTTTAACAACCTCTATCCATAGCCAACTATCTTCTAACATTTTTCTTATCACATAAACTCCAAAGGACAAAAAATGGTACAACAGATTTCATTAAATTGTAATAATAGATCCATTTACAGAAATAATTCTGTAATAATAAGAGATGGGGCCACAGTCAGCGTATAGCAACTGAATATACTTGAAATAATGATTTGTTTTAATTTTGTGTATTTTCATGAGCTAGTTTCTAGACTTTTTTATTTTTTTTCTGCCTACTTCACTTAACTTGATAAAAGTTATTGAGTTTTAAAGCTCATATACAGTATCTAAGCATATGATAGTATTTAAAACTGAGGACAGAATCCAACACTGAACACCCATGCATTAGTACAAGCGATAACAAAAGTTTAAGGCAATTATTTTTATACATAAGTAATTATAAATGGAGTGTGTTATGGCTGTGGATGACGGGGATTCATAGAGCAGCAAGTTACTATGAAACAGTTATAAAACAGTATTGGACTCATAGAAAATTTACCACGGCTTCAATCCCCAATCATCCTATCCCATCTACAAGTTGATTACAATAACAGTTTATTAATAGAGGATTTTGGAATTTCAACTTTGTCTTTCTATTAATACTGTTCACAATTTCTATTACTTTTATACCTTTACATAATATGTTCATTATTACTGTTTTTTTCTGTTAACCATTTTGTTATTAATATAATTTATAGACAATAGGCTAACATTTGTAAGTAGAGTTAGACATTTAACAGTTTAAAATTCTTCTAGCCTGTTTTGCAAGGGGTGGAAAACCAACATTGCTGTATTATATTAATCAGCATTCAACTAGGGAGGATGTTATATGTATGTATCAGGTTTTTTTTTAAAGACTTTTTTTTGTTAATGGTTTTTTGTTTTTTTCTTTTGTTCTTTTGTAAAATATTCTAGTGTTTTGTATTTTACCCTTCTTTGAATGAACTAAAATTTTCCATTAAAAAAGCAGTACTTGGACATTTCTGAATTACGAATAAAGCGATTTTCTCCATAAGCAGAAAAGACTCACTGATTTGAAAAAAAAATAATTTTTTCCTCTGAAAAGAGGATAACATGATAGTTCTTCCAATTTTGGATATGTGTCCTTGCTCTGTTTCTTGACCAGCTCTATTTTTGGAACCAGTAAGCAATTGAAGATTAAAGTAAAAGTCCTAACATAAAAGGCTACAGCTTTATCTTCGCTTATCAATTGTAACGCTCATTATTTTGCTTTTCATCTTTTGGGACTTCAGTTTTGCTTTGCTTTGCAGTTTATTCCATAAATTTAAGTGCAATTCATAAGATTTTTTTCTAATAGAAATATCAAACTAAAAGTGATTGTTGACTGCAGCAATGTGCATATTTTATATACAACTACATAGATCTCTCAATAGTATAAATACTATTTTTAGTATTTTTTTAAAATCCAAATATAGATAAATCTTTCTACAGTAAGGTAAAACTGAAATGTAATTTTGTAATATATGTTCTTCCTAGATGACAGGTGTGAGCAATATTATGTTGGCTTGCAAGGTAACTCTTAAATTACAAATTTTAAGCTGGCATAGAATAAAAGGACAATGTTTCAAGTCAAACTTGCATTGGTATGCTTGTGACATACATGTCAAAATTTAGGGGTATTACCCTTACAGTTAGTAGGACAGCATATGGTACAGAACTGAGTAAAGCTGGGGCTCTAGTTTATACCTGCTCTATATTACTAAAAAGCCCTGATTTCACAAAGCCATAACAGATAGTAGGGGTCAATAGCTAAGGGTCTACATGGCATCTTAGAGACTAAAATTTTGAAAATTAGAGGAGTAAGTGGTAAAAAGCATAAATTAAAGAAAAACAAATATATTGCATGTGAAATTAAGAGAAAGATATAGAAGACGTTCATAAGATGAGCAGACCATACTGAATGGAATTGATGAATACATGCAGGGAACTAAAAGTATAGAGTTAATTATGCAAGAAGGAGATAAAATAACAAAGTATGAACTGATGTCATCCAGATGGTTATGGGTTTTTATGAAATTAGGAAACCATAGGTTGATGATAGTAGCATGACTTACTCTAATGAATAGTGATAGCAGAAAAATCTCAGATGTGTGCTAGGAGAAATTGTGCAACTTTCTGAAAGCAAGTAATCCAAAGGGGAAAAAAATTAAATCGAGTAACATGAATAAATGAGTGGGAATGAAACAGGAAAATGCAGAAAAAACAACTGGAACCAATAATGAATAAGAATGATAAGAGTTCTCTGATCATCTACTTAGTAGAAGATCAGTTTGTTAACACAAATAAATTTTTATGTTCACATGGTTAACAGAATGAATTAAAAAGCATGAATAATTTGTTTAGTAAAAGATTGAGAGTATTAGCCAAGCATACAAGAGATTTTGAATATGCAACGTGCCATTATTTGTAGTGTCAAGAAATGGAAGAAATAATAATAATCAAGAAAGAATAAGGTAGAATGATTGCACTTATATGAAATAGTGCCACAAGATAGATTAATCTCTCAAATAAATGAATGGAAAACAGACCTAAGAAAAGATAGTATAAAAATTACTTCAACACTTTGAAAATAATTATGTTATAGAACAGGGGTGTCAAACTCAATTTCAGCATTGTGGTGCCCTCTGGAGGGCTGGTTGGGCTTGACCCACTGGGTGGTGGTGGCTGCACTGGATACAGCTGACTTGGTGGGCATAGCCGGGATGGGCATGGCCACCTCACTGTTTCTTGATGGGAGGATGCCTTTGGGCGCCGGGCAGGGTTGGGGGAGATCCAGAGGATCTCAGGCGAGTGGGACGGTGGAGACGAGGCTCGTCCTGTGGGGTGAGGAGAGGCAGGGGGCAGGGCGAGGGTCCCATTGCCATGGGGCAAGGCAAGGTGAGGTAGGGGCTGGGGCAGCTGCTGCCTGACACCATAGGCCCCTGCACAGAGAGGCCAGCGAGCGCATGGGGGCCAACAGTGTCTGTCAGCAGCCACAGTCTGCTGGCCCCTCAACCAGCGTACTCTGCAAATACCAGGTCAGCCCTCCAGCAGCAGGCGGAGTAGGGGAGGTGAGGAGGGGGGCACATGATGCAGACCACCGGATGTGCCTACTCTGTCCCATCTGTTTTTGCTTGCGGTTGAAGAGCAGGTCGCTGCTGGTCATCTCCTCGACCCCCTTGCAGATCTTGCCCTTGGCCCGTGCATGGAGCTTGTTTCCCTCATGCACCCGATGCAGCTTGGTCCCACCTTGGGCCTGCACTGCCACACTGCCAGCAGCTCACGCAGGTCCATTGGGCTGCTGCCGCCGCCCACAACAGCAGGCCCTCCCAGCACAAAAGAGGCAAAGCAGCCGGCTAGGAAGCTTGAGTAGAGATGGTAGAGCATGCCTACGCCCAGCAAGCAAAAGGCCATCCCGAGCAGGGAAAGCTGGATCCCCATTGGCACTATGCCCCCCCAGGCCCAGCCAGCATTGTGTGCCTCCCCCCATCTCTGCTGGGGCTGGGCGACCATGGCCTTTGCTTGCTGGCCCTGGGCATGCTCTACCACCTCTACTCAGGGCTTCCCAGCCAACCGCTTTGTCTCCTTCGTGCTAGATGGGCCTGCAGCTCTGGGCAGTGGCCTAATGGACCTGCGCGAGTGGCTGGCAGCGTGATTGAGGCGGGTACCAAGGTGTGTGAGGGGAATGCACTCCACCTGCGAGCCAAAATGCAGTGAATTCTTGATAAACACAAGAGTGGCAGCTTGATTTGTCTTGGGCAGTTTCACTGAATTAAACAACAGCCAAAGGCATAATCATGCTACTCTGTTGTACCAAATTTAAATCAAGGTCTTGAGGCTCCTTAAAGTATAACATATGTATAACAGCATCAGCTTATGTGGCCCAGATGAAATGGACTACTCCTGGAAAGCCTATACTGAAATGGATTTGTTAATCTTCAAGAGGCCACAAAAGTTTTTGATGTTTGAACACTTAATTTTTTTTATTCAGTGGAACAGCTTGCTGAAGGCATAATGAGGGGACTGAGTTTATGACCAGCAGTGACCTGTTCTCCAACCAAAAGGAGATGGGACGTAATAGGCATATCTGGCTGTCCGCATCACATGCCCCGACTCCATGTGCTGCCAGTGTCACCGCAGTGCTGCTGGAGGGCCAGCCCGGTATTCACAGTGGGCTATGCATTCCCTGCTGCCGGACAACGTTGGCCCTTGTGTGCTCACCGCCTCCTGTGCGCATGCTTTGGGGCCGCCGGGCTGGGCGAGGCCAGAGCCAGGGCGGTGGGAGCCAGTCCCTCACCATCTCTGGGACACCTACGCAGGCCAAATATCGGCCAATCACAGGCTGGATGCAGCCTTCAGGCCTTGTGTTTGATATGACTGTTATAGAATACCTTGGAAGTTGTGGAGTTATGCTAATGGATGTTTCCAGTTGGTTGCTCACTTCCTCAGTGGCAGTTCTAGGAAGAAAACAATAATTCTAAAAAAACAAGATGAACATCACTGAAAAGTAATTTTGCCACCAATCCTCAATCCACAAAGGAAAGAGGAAATAAGATTATAAGCAGTCGTGGTGTTACTTAGTGACCACTTCACTTAATGACCAATTTAATAGCCCGTTCCTAAATGAATACCACCTGTATGTAATGCATTTCTGTTGCTCGGTGCTATGGTTTTATGATTATGTTAAAATTGTTTGCTATATTTTATTGTCATTGATATAATTTTTTGGATCACTGTATGTTGCCTCTGAATGGTATAGTAGAGTATAGTTTTACTGATATTGACTAATCAATAAAACTGTAATGCAATGTATACTATATTTTCCTACATACAGTAAGCTACCTATTGTGAAATGACTAAAGTGGCATAAAAACACAAGGAAGTGAAGAGATTATGCAAAAGGATGGTTGGTGGCTTGAGGCAGTGAATGAGGAAAAGAAATGTAAAAAAATCATGACTGCAAAACAAGGGAGGAAGGAAGTCCAATGTTAGCAAAACTGAAACAAAACTGAAACTTTACCTGCCCCCAACAGAGAAAAGAAAGCTGACAGAATCTACTCAAGATCTTGTTAACAGATATCTTTCTGCCCAAAAGAGACAAGTGAAGAGAAACAGAAATAGGCCTTCCCATCAAGGAGAATGCAGAAGCACTGAACCTGCTTTCCTATGCAGCGGTATAAATTCAGACCTTTTTCCCCTCTGAAAGCTTTATGAGCATAGCTTCACACATATGAGCATTGAACTTTGTCACTTCATTCGTTATAATTTTGCATTTCCTAACATAATTTGTATATTTAGGAAGCTCCTGCTAATGTTTATGGAAATACAACAGGAGTAACCTATTCAACTCCTGTGTGTATATCAAAACAAGCTTGTATTAAATAAACTAATTTGGTTTATTGCTTCAAGTTACTCCTTTCTCAAACTCATCCTGTGAGTGATATTTCTGTTAGCATTTCGGATTTTTTTTTTAAAGTAAAAGGTGTTTCAGAGGGACCACCCAGGTTCTGTAACTGAGCTCTGATCTAGTAATGCCTCAGAGGCAATAGCTGAGAATGACATGAGGATAATTCAACTTCATTTATTGTACACTTAAATAAATAGAAAGGTGGTGTATCAATTCAATATTAAAACAGTTAAACTTAAGAAATGCAATCCCAATAAGAGCAATTGAAAATAGTTACATTTAATGAGATTCTCAAGATAGAAAAATCTCTAAAGTGTTTTACAAACTGGCAGACTGGATTCATCATTAAAATCTAAGAAATAGATTTTATATACTAATTTATATAACGGGGTTATACTATGTTCCATAATATAATTCACTTAGTTAAGTGGAGTTTATTTCCAAGAAAATGTGAACAGCAATATTAGCTAAGTTGATTTCAATTCAAATATATGTGTTAATTCCTGTATTGATAGTAATTTCGTCTGGAAATACAAGGCATTATTTCCATACCGTTTCTTACATTTCATTATAAACACCTCGATAATGTACAGACTTTCCAATATCCATCTTTCAAACAGTTGAGATAGATAAGACAGTTAGACAAGCAGAATGAGCCATGCTACACAATGTATTGTACCTTTAAAATGCAGATCTCCCCATGATCTTTCTGTGTGACGTTTTGTGTTGTCAGGAAGCAGGTATGACTCCTATCATGGTCTTCCCTTATCTGTTAGGAAAATTTTGAAATAAAGTAGAAACTATGAATTTAACATTACTCATTCCTAGACCAAGAAGCCTATTCTTACTCTTGCTTATGCCATAGCCAGTTTGCAAGTGAGTTATTGCAATATGGTCTACATGGGGGTGTCTGTAAAGCTAGTCTGGTCCAGAATACAAGGGCATGAACAGTGGAGGGAGGGCTCATTATGCCTATGTAACATCTCTATTTCATAAATCATATTGGTTACCAGCAAGCTTCTGGGTGCAATTCAATATTTACTCATTCCTCAATGTTGACCTGTGTCATTTATATCTGATGAAGAAAATGATCCTCCCATGGCAATAAAGAAACAATTTATTAACTAATGCATGATTATCAGCTTTTCATTAATACTCCCAAATCTGCTACTGGAAGAGTTTCATCCTATCACACTTTGGCTTGGTTTGTACATCACACCAAGTCATTTTAACAAACCCCAATTGGCTTGCTTTATGCAATATGATAAGCCAACTTCAAACCTATTGGAAAAGTGACTTAATATACAGATGAAGTCAACTTCTAAGACAGAGCCTATTTTTCTCTGGTATTCTAAAGGTATTCAAATTTTTCAACACAAATTTTTCAACAGATATTAACACAATAACTTCAAAACTAGGATGGTTTTGAGTTTGGTAGTATACTCAAAACATTTCCCAATCAAATGTTTTTGAAGTGCCAGAAGTGATTTCATTTAGTTAGTACAGTATAATGTCTGTTGTACTCCTCCCTAGTTCTTGCTCCAGTAAACGCAATTCTGTTATGAGACTCTTATACCCTTCAGTTTCAGAAATGGGGAAAAGGGAAGGCTAAGTCAACATTTTTCTGTTTTTCAGGAGCACTGAACTTCAGAGTAGCTTTTGCCTTCCAGATATTGACTCTGGTTGAAAAAAATAGTTTAAGATGAGCTGACTGTTATCATACAAAGTTTGCAAATGCAAAACTAGTTCACATTATGTTTGCTTGGTTCTGATGGCACTAGCCTGGTGCCATGCAAGTGACTGTTTATTTTTATGTTGTTCATATATGAAACTGAAGGTAACATCAACCTTGTAATGCAAGGCAGAGACCGGCACCAGGCCCAGCATGCCAGAAACCGGTCTGCGCAAACAAGGAAAACCCATCCGCGGGATGCAGGCAGTACATGAAACCACACCCCCTCTGGTCCATGGAAAAACCTCTCTCCATGGAACCGGTCCCTGGTGCTCAAAAGGTTGGGGACCTCTGATATAAGGCACCAGCAAGACACTTTGAAATGGAGCTTTTAATAGCTGATGTTTTAGCAACTTATTTAATGAATCACTAACACTCTGGATAAAACAATTCTGGGCATTTTACAGCCCCCAGGCCACATCCAGCCCTTTAGCTTCCTTATGTGGCTCATGTGAGGTTAATCAGAAATTAGAAATCAAATGCAAATAAGTGCACTCAATACAACTGCAGTGCTTTTATTTCAAATGTGATTGCTATTTTTTAAAATTTACCTATGTGCATGGGTGCGTTCCTATGCACCTTCACAGCACTATTGGTTTGATCCACCACAACAGTCCCAGTTTCTCATGTGGCTCCTCGGGAAAATTAATTGCCCAACCATGGGTTAAACCATAGTTTGCAGATTATATGTCCCAGCACTCCATTTGCAGGTCCTGAAATACCCTGAGATCATGCTGCCAAAATTCAATAGCTATAATGGCCACATTTTGATACTGCAATTTTAAAACAATTTGAAATTGGTTTAACAGGGGACAATTGAGCAAAAAGCCCTTCTCCTCCTTACTTTACCTTATAGCTGTCATTCTGTTTACAACTATAAGTTAGTCACCAAGACTTCTCACAAAGGCTCAAAAACTATCATCAAGACATTTTTAGAACAAATTATTAGTAGTAAATATCTACAGCTCTTAAAAATCATTAAAACTTGATGAGTTTAGGCTGCTTCCAAAATCATCACCAGTGAAACAGGAACAATCATTCCATCATATATAAGTGCTATTTAGGGCTATTTAGAGCTTTCCTACTGAGAACCAATCAAAAATTCTAGTTTACACCATTTTGCCATTCATATATGGGACAGCCAAAGTTTACTAACCCTCTTCAACTAATGGAACTGAAAAGTTGCTCCATGCAGATAAGCCCTATTTTTCTCATGTAGATATTCTGTTTGATCTAATTTTATACCATCTAAAATGCAGTGAATTCTTGATAAACACAAGAGTGGCAGCTTGATTTGTCTTGGGCAGTTTCACTGAATTAAACAACAGCCAAAGGCATAATCATGCTACTCTGTTGTACCAAATTTAAATCAAGGTCTTGAGGCTCCTTAAAGTATAACATATGTATAACAGCATCAGCTTATGTGGCCCAGATGAAATGGACTACTCCTGGAAAGCCTATACTGAAATGGATTTGTTAATCTTCAAGAGGCCACAAAAGTTTTTGATGTTTGAACACTTAATTTTTTTTATTCAGTGGAACAGCTTGCTGAAGGCATGAGTAAAAAACTGCTGGAGGAAGAAGAAATATAGATCACATTCTTTTATAAAGAGAGGCAGAGAAATCTTACAACAAAACAAGCTAAACTTAAATAATCATTCATCTATATTAAGATAGCATTTAAGTATGTTAAGACTGGATTGGGAACAAGATCAGCCAAATACAAATCACCATCAAGCTCTCCCTGGACAATTTGTCCTGATTTCTATTTCTCTAGCATTCAACTCATTTTTTTTCCAAGGACAAAATAAAGATTTTTTTTTCAGCATGTGTCACCTTGAACTCCTACAGAAGGTGGAAAATCTGCCTTCAGTTCCTGGGGCTCCAGTTTGTAGAGTGCAGAGCACCCACAAATCAAACCACTAAAATATGCTGGTACAATGTGTGATTTTTAGCAGTCTTTCATTGGAAGCATGCATTTCACAACTTAATATAACCTACCAACCACCAAAAAATGACTGATCATTTTTGAACCTTACAGCCATACAAATATGAAGTAAACTTCACTTATTACATTTTATTGATTATCCTGCTAATTCTTCTCTGTTTATATATCCATTATTCCCACAGTATACTAAAATATAGAACAGCTACACATAATTTGTTAAACTGGATAAAGATATATTTCCTCTCCTTCGTCCATCCCCAAAATATCAAAAACATGATGAAATCAATTTTTAAGGCAGAGATGTGAAAATCCACAAGATCAGGGAATGTGATTAAGCATCATGTAAAGCAAGAATTTAAGACAGCTCCTAGAACCGAGAAATTTTAGAAGTCTAATTCCTGCAAGTTAGTTTTACTTTATGAAACATGAAGAGCATTTTCTAGTGTGAGTTACATTTGCAATGTTTTTTGAGAATTCAGAAAGTATTAACATCTGGGTTAAATCTAAAGCCAACACCTCTTCTACCAATATATTATACAATATCTTTTGATGTTAAATATAAAAACACAATATACCTTCATTATTTTATGTTAACTCAGAAGAAATAATTATGAGAAGGTTTTTTTAATGATCGACTAAAACTTATATCCAGATAAAGGAAGTGTAACATACAATTATAAAACCAAATATGGGTTTTTTAAAACCATATAAATGGATTTTTCTATTTGCAACCTTTCCCGTGTGTGTGTGTGTGTGTGTGTGTGTGTGTATGTGTGTATGAGTGAAATTGGGATGGAAAAGCCTATCCTACAGATGCAACAATAGGATTTTTCCATATGATCAACAATTCACAAAAATTTGGATTACTATGATGCTCTAATTGGAGGAGAGGTCAATAAAAGCACCCCAAACATGCTTCCAGTACAATATTGAGAATTAAAATGAAAGTATGCCATTTAGAGGGGGCACGATGGCTCGGTGGTTAAAGATGCTGAGCTTGTCAACTGGAAAACTGACAGCTCAGATTCAAAACCTGAGTGCCATGCAATGGAGTGAACTCCCATTCCTGCCCCAACACAACTGGATAGGAAAACCTTTAGATTTTTATGCCATTTAGTCAACAACATTTCTTTAATAGATGGGTGGCAACTGATAATTTTTGTGTCATGAAGGGCCAGGGTCTCAATTTTTAATTATATTTTTAAAACTAAGAAAAGGAAAATGCAATTGAAGAATTTCCTGTTTCAGATGTCAAAATAAACTAACTTAATCTAATCTTGGATATTATATACCTTTACCCAAAGAGAAAAGCATTTGTCTCAGATAGAAAAGTCCATTAGGTTGGTCTGCAAGTAATATATGTGCAGAACCTTATATTGTTATATTCCCAATCTGTTAAACCCCAATATCAAGGAGCTCTAGCCATTAAAAATCTTCATCAATTTTCAAGCCTCATCTGAACTTTCATGTAGCATTTCATCAATCAAGAGTGAAACTTACAGACGATTAAACTTATCGGAGTCTGTAATTATATTCAGTGCTCTGCCTATATGACATCAACCTTATTTACTTCACTAGTATATAGTTCTATCTTTAAACACAGGTTTTGTTATGATATTTTTAGGTTTTCCATTGTGCCACAAGAACTCATAATATTCACTCCACAGAAGAGATTAAACTAAAGGAGTCATTATCATTATCCAGGAATTGTAGTTGTAATTCTCGGAATTTCAAGCCAACTTGATCTTTGATTGTGATACCTGAAATTCTGGAATTTATAATCTCAATAACAATGGGAGAGTGTTTTGTGGGAAAATGCTAAAGTATACTTTTCACTATTAAAAGAAAATGTGATTATGGACCTAATTCTTAAGTCATGTGCAACCCTAACTTGCTATGTGTGTCTTCTCCAGTGGGCTTTCCATAACTGTTTCAATTCAATCCCATCATTCCCAGCCAGAATGTCCAATGTTGGAAGGCTACTATATATGTTCCTCTAAAATAAGTCTCATTGAGCTTCAATTGTGCTTATTGAAGGGATTCTCCAGATTTCCAGGGGTTATGAGAGGGGGATTTGCAATTAGTTTTAAAAACAGTCGGGCTTGCCCAGGCAAGCAAAGCTGGAGCAAATATACTGACACCACTGCAGCTTTGCCAGAGCCAACCTGGTGCCTATTTATTTTCTGCCAGAGCCTAACCTAAATGAAAGCATTATTTTTATTTATGTGGAGCTGTCCCACAAATTTATTTTTATTTTATTTATTTGTATTTCACCTTTATTATTTTTATAAATAACCCAAGGCAGCGAACATATTCAACACACCTTCCTACTCCTGTTTACCCACAATTCTGTAAGATGGCTTGGGCTGAAAGAGAATGACTGGCCCAAAGTTACCCAGCTGGCTTTTATGGCTAACGCAGGACTTTAGCTTGTGGTTTCTTATGTTCTAGCCTAGTGCCTCACCACTAAATCAAATTGGAAATTTATCGTTTGTACTTGCAAAGTTTAAGAATTCCAAGTTTACTCTTTTATAAGTGACTTTAGGACTGCAGCCTAAATGTTCATTCAAAAAATATTTAAATGCAGATTCAATCATTGCTGATGGCGTTACCTTTCTTCTTCAAGTTGCAACAAGTAGTTGTTTTCAATATAGGCAGAGTACACAGAATTAATCAATATTATATACCCAAGTGCAAGAAATCCTGCAAACTGAAATTTGGCCCAATAGTGAAATAACTATACATCAAACCAAATTAACATTTTCACATCTGGATTGTATGGTTCTTAACGGTACTTTACATAGTTTTGCATTCTTCCCTCTAACAAAGCAGTGCATTGCTATGATCAGAATATAACTTATATATTGATTGAGTTCAAGCCTTATACCATGGTGTCAAATTAGCTCTTAAATCATCTCAACCAATGATTCATTTCCTCTTAAAACAAAAAGGGGGGAATAAGTTCTGCTTCAAATTTTATAACTTCCACAGCTTTATTTCCAAAACTAAAATATCTGCAAATAGTTAACTTATGTACTGCCAAACACACAGTGTGTGATAGGTTGCTAAGCAAATGACATTTAAATTAAGACAAATGCAAAAGCAAATAAACAATTATTTATTTTCTTTTTTTTCATGACTATTTTATAATGTGACTTTGCTCATGTGTGGAACACAAATGAATACTATTGCATTTGATTATTTCAAATTTGGTCTTGTAAGAAAAAATATTTAATAAGATCACATTTCATTTTGCCCTATCTGTAAAATATAAATTACTGTTTGTCTGTATTTACTGGCCATACTTCATCCTCCTTTCATAAAAATAAGGGAGTAGAAAAGTCCATGCAAGTATTAATAGAAAGTTAAGCTACTTAACAACAACAACAACAACAACAACAACAAGCTACTTAAATGTATGAGTAACCTACTCCCAGAGACATAAAGCTGAAAAGGCAACACACAGACTTCTTGGCAGTCTGTCTTCCATTCAACTGTAGCAAAATCATTATACAGTTCATACAATGCACATTGAAATATATATTATCAAACCAACTCAGAAAACAGATGTAAATTAAAAGATATAAATACGCAGAGCAAGTATGGCAGAGAGATCTACATATTGCTGGCAAGTCCTGTGATGAATAGAACAGTTTAAAAAGATTTGCATACAAGAGTATCCGCTGCCAGTCGGATTTTCATTTTCGCGAGAAATGAAGCCTGGGAGGATCTGCTCATACAGCTGATAAATCAATGACGTATTGGAAAAAAAATATGACTTTACAACAGCCGTTCAAGGGCAGATCCTATCGCCATGTGCAAGTGTAAAACATGCAGTGAATTAGAATGATCCTAAAAAGAGAAAAGCAAAAAAAAAAAAAAAAAAAATCTACTTTGGGGGACGGACGGGAAGAGAAAGAAAATGTTAACTCAATGTTTGATCAGCAGCAGGAGCGGCTTACCCTCGGGGTCTGCATCCAGTCAATCAACCCACCGATGCAGTGACATGCCAAGTACATTAAACTGAGAGGCAACTCAACTTTTTTTTTTAAAAAAAAAAAAAACCTCCTTCCACCCCCACCCCCATGCCTCTTCTCGCCTCCTCCAGCCTTTCTCCAAACCCTTTTCCAGCCCATGGCAGCACCGAGCGGTGAAATCAGAAAGCCGAACGGATTCCCCGAGATCAGTCATCTCCTTCCTATTCACTACGGAGTATTTCGGAATGCCAATAAAGCAGCAGACCTGGAAGGAGCAACAGCAGGAGGCACCGGATCGCTCGGGCGATTCCCCATGAAATACCAAGTGCCCTTTTTCACGTGCAGAAAAGAAAACAAAAGTGCAAATTACCAGGAAGGAGGAAAGAGAGAAAGTGGGGAAGAATAAGCAATAAAGGAAAAAAAAAAAAGAGCTTCCACCTTAAGGTAGGCTGCCTTCCTCTCTGCCTCTCCAAGAAGGGAATGAAAGTGCCCGAGTTGTCCCAGTCTACACATTGTAACAGTATCTGCCCCTGGACGAAACCAACGGCAAAGGAGCGGGAAACGGGGGGGGGAAGGATTGAGAAAGAAAGGCTGGTAAGCGACTGATGAAGCTCACTGCCATTCCTTTCTAGGACTCGGGGCTTGAAATTCAGTTTCTAAGTTGATCCTTATAGGATCCTCAATTGAAATCCCGATTTTGATCGTTAGCGAGGACTCGACGAAACCGTTCCCCCCCCGGCTGAAACGCCAATGCTGTGAATGGGACCTTCCCGGAAAAAGGAAATAAACTGGTCACTTCCGGGTTTGAACTCTCCGCGAGACCTTTAAAAAGAAACCGAGGGACGGCGAGCACGGCGGCGTGGAAGTTTGGTTTCGATGTTCTGGTGCGAATCGCGCGGCTGTCGTAGGCAAAAGGCTGTGTCTGACTTTGGCGGGGCCGCCAGCAATGGCTATTGCATTTGTAACAGGGGGGCGGGAGAGAGAGAGCACATCAGCGGGTTTTGGGCTCGCAACTGCTGGGGCCCTCCTGTTCAGCTTTACTTGAAAGAAGGCGGCGGCATGGTAGCTTGCAAGGGAGACGGTACTTCTTGGGATTGAGGCAGACTTCCGATGTTTCAAAGCCTTGAAAATGCAGGTAGTTCTCGACTTACAAAAGTTCATTTAGTGGCTGTTTGACATTACAACGGCACTGAAAAAAGTGACTTATGACCATTTTTTCCACACTTACGACGCTTGCAGCATCCCCATGGTCACGTGATTTATATTGGGATGCTTGGCAACTGGTTCATAGTTATGATGGTTGCAGTGTCCTGGGGTCATATGATCCCCTTTTGCGACCTGACAAAGTCAACAGGGAAGTGAAATTCACTTAACAACCGTGTTACTAATTTAACAATTGCAGTGATTCATTTAACAAATGAATGTGGCAAGAAAAGGGGTAAAATGGGGCAAAACTCGCTGAACAGATTTCTCACTTAGCAACATAAATTCTGGGCTCAATTGTTGTAATTTTAGGACTACCTGTACGGTAGTTGTACACATTGAAAAATATGCATACTTAAGATTTGGTTCTCTATACTGAATCTGTATACCCTCGCTGTCTTGGATCATAAATAAATTTTGGTCTAGTCAAAAGTCAATCAGATATAATATACATCCCATCTTTTCTTCAGAAACCCAAAGCATATTAAATATGTGGGGATGTAACTTCCAATAGCAAGCCTTGGGCTGAGAAAGTAGTAGTGAGGCATCTAGTAAATTTCCATTACTGACAATGACTTGAATCGGGATCTATTTAATTGCTACCCTATTTTAAATCACCACACTGCTGCCTCAGAGTTGGCCAAGTATTTGTATATCTGCCCTGGAGATACTAAAAAGATACGAATTTCAGACCCTTTGTGTCCTAGAAGATATTCAGCAAAATTCTCAGAGGCACATGAAAAATTTATATAATCTAAAATACTTGTCACACCATATTACTATGGTAAATTGAGTCTATCTGTACTATGTTTAATTGTTTAATTTTGGTGAGATATGTGTGTGGTATGTGTTGTGGCACATATTAGAATTTCAGTTTAGTCCAACAAATTCTGTCCAATACCCCAATAACTAAATGTTTTGTTATTTCAGAACTTAAGGAAACTTTTAGTAATTACAACAGTAATTCTGTTGTGGAGTAGTTACCTAGAAAACAGCTGTGTTTTAAGAAGCACTGGTGCTGGTGCTCTTTAAGCAGGAAAATCAGCTACTTTATTAAAATTAATTAGTGCATTGGATGCAAATATGCCTTATTTTAATTTCTTAAATTTTCTATTAAGCTTAGAGTGACTCCTACTGGCATGTACTGATCCCTTAATAAACTGTTGACTTGCAAAAAAAGACCCCGGAGCTTATACTTCTTTCATTATTACAATAAATGTTTCTTACTTTGTGAATCTGAAGATGGCTACTAACATAGTGCTAGCACTTTTAAGTATTTCTTTCTTCCACAAGGGTTCTGTAACACCATTACATCCAAGGGCTTTATTTTTGAGTCAGTATTTATAGTTTTTGTAATCAAACTCTACAGATGTTAACAAGCATTGGATAAATTGAAGTTAATAATACAGTAAGCATTTTTAATAGAAATAAAAAGCTACCATTGTTAATTCTCCACTTAGTTATTTGAAATCTGCATGTGAACAGCTTTGCCACATTCCTTCTGACTTCATAAGAAAAGGCATCCTGCATAGCAAAATTATCCCTTCTACATCTATTACATTTGAATTAAACATGTCTGATTTAATATAGAAAAGAACAGCTGTAGTGATTTCAGTGCTTAAAGCACTTGAAATTATAGTTTTGGAGTCCCTGTTTTCCAGATTGAATAGTCTGAGAAATATAATCCACAGGGTTATTGATTTGGAGGAAATTCAAAGCTTGGTTTGCCTGAAGTTTTTTTATACACTTTTAATGGTTGCTAAAACAATTGCTCCTTGGTTAAAGTTAACCTGATATAAGAGCTTTATTGGTAACTGAAAACTGAAACTCCTTTACAAATTTCAGATATACTTAATCTGTTAATCCATTTGGTTTTATCTAGCAGTCTGTAATGGTATCACCATTTAAAAATATTTTTAATATGTAAAAAATTCAGAAGAGTCCAAGTAAAATAGAGATTGGAACAAAAAGAAAGAGATAGAATCCATGTTTTTCTCTCTTGTGATCCATTTTATAAGGAAACAAGATTTATGCCAGAGAGAGGACACATACATACCTTTACTGGTTGTAAAAATAATTCTTATATTCCAGATTTAAAGCAATGAAAGTGACATGTGTAATTAGCATTTTTAATAATCCATATGTTTTGAAATGCATAGCATCATAAAATAATAAACTGTGTTAATTTTGGTGCATTGCATAGTTGCCTTTGTCAAGCTATATTTTAAAGGTTTTATTTAAGATAAATAAAAAGAAGCACCAGTATATTAAATTATAAACAAGAAATTGACTGGAAGCCATTTCAATTGTTTAATCTTGAACACTGGCAAGAAGCGGTCTCCCAACATGTTAGTCACAGCAGTTCAACATCTATATTTCAAATTACTATTTCTTAAAAGATAATTCCATGTATAAGATGTTCCAGCTGTAGTCTAGAGATTACAAGATGGATAATTAAAACTAGGCAATCTGACCAAAAAATGTTGCCTCTTGTGAATTAATCTCAGCGGATAGCCAGTCTGACATGAAGACCATGTATATTGTCACTCACAGATAGCTCTGCGGAGTACAGTAATTATCATTCTTTACTTTTCTGTAATACATTGCATTCCAGATGATGCAGGCCAAGCTCCATAGATTTAGAACATTCGGTGGCTAACATGATTCTCCTCCAATCCGTCCTCTAGCATTGGTGATTATGACAATGGCCATAATGAAGGCTAAGTCAAAAGCAGGCTTGAAACTGATTCTCTGGAATGACTGGATTTTATTTGCAGCTATATCTGGCAAAGCACCTTGCCCAGGAAAAGAGTGAGCTTTTCCTGTAAGCTCACAGCTAATACAATTATCCATGTCAAGGCAAGGTTAATTTTTTTTATATAAGTTTTTAATTGATTTTTTAATACAATTCAACAGTGCTTATTCAACTAACGTATTGTCTGAGTTTATCATTCAGTAATACAAATTAAATTCCTAATCCCTAGTTCGTTTCTCCAAACATTGATAAAATAAGTCCCAAGTTTGAAAATATTCTGTTTCTTCTTTTTATTTCAACTTCAGAGTAAGTCTGTCCATTTCCGCAGTCTAGTATTTTTTTAATTATTTCTTCCTCTGGTGGTATTTCTTCATTTTTCCAATATTGTGCAAAAATAATTCTTGCCGCTGTTGTCACATGCAAAATCAAATATGCACTTTATCAAGCTTTTCTGGCATTATACCTAATAAAAAAATTCAGGTTTAAAATCTATATGTTTCCCCAGCATCTTTTCTAGCCAAGTATGTATTTTTGTCCTATATCCCTTTGCTTTAACACATGTCCACCACACATAAGTACCTGGTTTATGATTACATTTTCAACATTTATCTGACATATTTTTAAACCTTTTTGCTAATCTTGCTGATGGCAAGTGCCCTCTATAAAACGTTTTGTATAGATTTTCTTTATAAGAGATTGACATTGTCAATTTAATAATTTCTTTCCCACAGGCTTTGCCATTTCTCTAAATTTCTATTCTTTGCCCATGTATCATTGTTTATTTGTCTTCCATTTTCAAATTTAATAGAAAGTTATATGTTTTCTTAATTAATTTTTCATCAGAGGTTAGTAATATCTGATGAAACAAAATCTGCTCTTTATAAAATCCATACGCTTTAACATCTTTATCGTATCTCTCTTGCATTTGATAGATCAATACCCTGATTTTCCATCTCTTGTCTAGATTTTAAGTTCCCTTAAGAATTCAGAATATCTTTGTATGTCCATATTTTCTCAAGACTGATTAGATTTGGCTGTACAAATGCTTCCATTGTTGAAAGCCATCCTGGAATTTTCAAATATATTTTACATTTTATTTTTTTCCATGTTAATAACAATGCATTTCTAATATAGTGGTTTTGAAAATATTTATTTTATTTTTCCCATACCATAAGAAAGCATGCCAACCGAGTTGTAAGTCATGTCCCTCCAAATTCAACAATCTTTCATTTCTGAGAGTTATCCATTCTTTTATCCATGTTAGCACTGATGTTGGATAATATAAAACCATTCTGGCAAACCAAAACCTCTGCTTCCCTTAGCTTCTTATAACATTTTCAATTTAATTCTAGCTTTCTTTCCTAAGGCAAGGTTAACTTTTAAAGACCTGTCATAATTCCTCCTTACAGTTACAATTCTCTTCTCTTAGGATATCATTTCCCTGATAAACTTGAAGGAATTGGCCAGCTGTTATCTGTTGAGTTTATCTACTCGGGTTTCAATAATGCAAGGACCTCTATGACCATGACTAAATTAGGAATGATAA